ACCACACGTTGCTGTAGTTCTTGTGCGACCAGGCGCTCCGCTATGCTAGTGAAGTTCTCTAGGCAATGATCAATCGCGTTCGCGATAGCTGTGATGATGCTGTGTCTAGTTTTGGCGGCCTCTTGGGCTGCCGTGATCTTCTCCGTAACCGCGCCCGTCACCAGTTGTCTCTTGTTAGCACTACCACCGAACGATATAGGTATAGGCGCTGCTTCGGCTTGCCTGTGTCTTTTTGTAGTGCGTAGGTTAGCTAGGCTAGGGGTATTTGGGTCCTCAGGGCGCGTGTGTGTCACTTCTGGAGGTCGAAGTGTCTGCCCTGGGGTACCTGGCACCGCCATCTCTCTGTCAGAGGGAGGGCTGGGCCCGATATGAGTTGTGAGTTGCCTTATTAGGCGCTTTAGGAGTGATTTCTAACAAAAATTTAATTGTTTTGAAGGGTACCATAAAATCACAAAGTTGGTGTTCGGTGTCGTGCGCGCGTGCCGACCACGCGGAGAAACTGCCGGGATGCATACTACTTATCTCAAGTCGACTCATCAAATATGCAGTCTTGATCTTTGCCATCTTGGCTTTCTTTCTGATCCACCAAGCTGTAGAGAAGTTTATACAGTTACGAACGAACAAGGGTGTATTAGAGGAGAGTCGATAAACGGCACTAACAGAACGAGCGACAGCATAGTTAATAACACGCTTTTCAGCGTTGGAGGGTAATACACTGAAAGAGCAAGAGCTGTAGGATAGATACGCATTGCGTTTGTCTATTTCTAAGTACGTTACACGCAACCCGAGCATCCGGAAGAAAAGATGTCCCGTCACACCGTGCGTCCCGGCACGGAGAGACTGACGTTAGCTACAAAGTGTTGTAGTAGTTGATGGATCTGAACTAACTGACAAAAGCTTTAGGAGCAGTGCATGCTTGTCAAGAGCCACCAATTAATCAGTGTTTAAAACAACTGCTTCACTCTAATTCTAATCATAGGGTAATGTGCTATACACATTGCTGCGTACGTCTAAACCTTAAGAATAGCAAATAGTTAGTCTACCAATGGTGCAGCGCCTTTCTGTTTCATGCCCCTCCATTTCATGCTCCCTTCGTAATTTTCTTTGTCATCCCTCGAAACGGGCAGAGACGTCGCCCTCTGACTTTGTTTTGACGCAACAAGGACATTCCCGCGTCCACAAAACGCTTGGTTGCTTATAGTATCGCCAAGCTTGTTCAAACGATTCTCAGTTGCAAGTACCACCTCATCAGCACAAGCTTTAAAATCGTCAAGGCTTTCCACTAGACGCTGATTGAACTTTGCTTCCATTTCGTTAAGTTCGTCGTTGCAACGGACTATATGGTCCTCGTTACTAGCTTCCCAGTCACTCTTTAAATCACCGCTAAACTCCTCTAAATCAATGCTGACAGAATTGTAATATTCATCGAGGGTTTCATGCAAAGTTTCGTCGAAAGCTTCGTGGACAGCTGTAGTAACAGCTCTCTTGATCATTGTGCTAAGCGTAAGATTATGGGTGGGAGTCGCATCGTGGTTTGTGAGCGCGTTTGGGATTCGACTGCAAGGTGGTGCTGGCGACAAACATCGCGAGGGAGAGTGGCCAGCAGGCGTTTTCCGAAAAAGATCCGCTACCACCCGTGGGAGCTCCTGCTTGACCACTTGTGTCAGCTCCGTCTTCAACACGTGTGAGAGCATATTCTCGACAGCGGAAGTGACAGCTTCTTGGAAAAGGTCCGCTGGAACGGTGGCAGTAGACGAAGCCGTTGACTCAGCCCGAAGCGGTGGCGCAGGAGTAGCGTGTTCTGTTTCTGAAGACGAGCATGAATATTTTCGGGCGCGCTTCGAATCCTGAGCATCAGGCGTTGGGCTAAAATCAGCTAGGTGATACACGTTAGTCACATCTCAATATAGCATTTAAATAGAATACGTACGCCTCGAGTGTTTACCCAGCACATGCGCGTACGGAGGGGGGTTATCGTGTACCACATCTTCGAGGGGAGGTGCTTCAGCTCTCACATCCTCAATTGAGAGTATAGTCCCAGACACCGGATCTTCGCTGGGAATACAGGCTCTAGGCTCGGCAGCCGGGATAAAGTTGAGAATTTGCCAGTCTGCCTTTTGGTAAAGATTGGTAAATTGTGGGATAAGCGGAACCCCAACGAACTCCCGAGAGCCTCGGACAATCTCCTGAAACTCTGCGGTGTTCTCCCCTAGCCAACGAGTGTCGAAACAGATGCATACTTCTGTCGCTCGTGCCAGCGTTAGGAGTCTATGAAAGCTAATATCAAGCTTCGAATATTCTTTTGGGTACCATACTGAACACGATTGTTTGAGCGTCAGCGACAATATTCGAACCTCAGGGCTCCCTTGCCGTAGTGTCCCGAATAAAGGTTCAGCTGGAACCTTGATGTCACGATCCTCGAGCGACATGCTGCCAGGCATAAGATTGTCGCCTTCATAGCGAAGAGTGATAAGTTGCTGCTCGCCATCAACGCGTATGGAATGTTCAAGAGATACAGCGAACTGCGCATCGGAGTTTATAATTTTTAGTGTGCATAACCATGGCGTGGATGCATCGCGTGCAGGATACGCGAAGGCGGGAACGCCTTTCTTGCGAAGAAAATTTTTCACCATTATGCATTAGTTATTGCTACAAGATAGATCTACTTACACAGTATGCCCCTTTGCAACAAAGCAGGCGAGATGCAGTGGCAAAGGAAACCCTCCCACCCAGGCTTTCGCGTTGATGACAAAGAGCAGCCCTAACTCTGTCGTAGCAGCAGTCGCCAAACCGTAGACCGCTAAACCCCCTTGTTCACACAGCCTGTGACTTGCTGGAGTATCACCCCTAAGACGCGCGAATTGGAAACGCAAAGATTGCGAAGCCAGCTCGGTGTGTCAAAGGCCCTGCGGTCAGGTTGGCGTACTGAGGCAAGACGCCATGCGGGCGAAAAGGACGGTTTAGTGCCCGACGGTGGACGGTTTCCTTTCGCGTAGGAGGAGGCGGAAGTTGAAAGACAGAAAACGCAACGAATGTCGAGGCCGAGGTCGTGGAGATGGAACTGGAGGAGACGGAGGTGGAAATGGGATGAAGATGACGGAGGAATGGAGGAAGCTGGTGTTCGGCGCTGGGTGGCGACGCCGGCCCAGGCGCTGCGCTACGCCTCAACATGCGCTAACCAATCCATCACGCCTGTAAGCAGGGAGATGAAACAGCCACTCCACTGCTACCTCATGCATCATGTGATTGGATCTGATTTGCTAGGGAAGAATGCAAAGCGCTGCCCCCCCTACACACATACCCTTATCCTCAATCACGACAGTTATTCCAAGGAGACCAAACCTTTGTTCCATTTTGGTGGCCCACGCTTTTGGTCAGCAGGGGGCTTATCCCTAAGGTTTGGAACAGACCCTTAACTATCCTCAATCTTACCCTAGGTATTAGGTTCCTAGCTAAATTAGGAAACCCCTAGGTATACTAGAAGGAAAACAGTACTGATGGTATAGAGTTAAGTCTAACTACAAGGTAGTGATTTCTCGCTCTCTAATACACTTCTCTTCTAAGACCTATCCTGACTAGTGTCTAACTAGAGGAAAAATAGAGAAGAGAGGACACCTGTAACGGCGCAGGCAAGACTACTCGGATCAGTATCGGCAGTAGTGTCACTCAGAGGCATATAGGAGTGCGTGGGACATCAAACGAGCCTTGATTCGAATAGACACCTATAGGCCTTGTACGAAAGGATATCAAAAATCTATCGCGCTACTATGGAGAACGGGTGGGGTTTTATATCAGCAGATCTGCCCTAGGCTAGTTCGTGCCCATGTTCGGATCCCTTTCGGATGTTAGTTCGGTAGGTACTCGAGCCGTTACAACACCAACTTATGTCTAAAGAATAAGTTTGAAGTCAGGCTGCTCTTAACCGTGGTCCTAGCAGCTGTTAGCTTATTGATGCCCTCCCACGGACATAGGATTGGTGTGGACATGCTGCCACACCCGCCTTAAAGATCATAGGTGTAATGGGCTGCGCCCGTGGAGTGAAAGCACGTGATTGTATCACGTGCCTACATCACGTGCCTATATCACACCGCTTAGTTAGAACTTACTCGTACGAAGAGTAGAGAAGCAAGGTATAAAGAGAGAGGTGTCACACGACAACTTAACTCTTCTTATCTTTCTTCTTCTGTACTATAGGTTAATGCAAACTCGTTCGAAGGCCTCTTCGCCCATAACAATAGGCAGATCGAACGTTGTAGAGAATATATGTATATCGCTTTTCTCAGTCCTTGTATCTTTTTTTTAGAGAGCACTGTAAGTCGCGACTAATGAGAAGACGCTGCCTACAGCGGAGTTGGTGGTGAGATGGTGAGGTAGATAGCTTTGGGACACAACGGTTGCCCGCTTGGAAGCAGCCGCGCGCCTCCTTTCGTGCAGTAGTAGCAGCAGTAGCACTATATATTACGGTGCATTAACTTTCTTTTATTATCTCTACAGAGCCCATATATTTACTAACTATATAACGAATACTTCCACATACACAATTTACGTGTTTAGGAGGTCACGTGAGGAGCGTCTAGCCAGTGAGATAAGCAGGAGTCTTGGGCCACTCCAGGCAACCGTGGTTCAGCTTGCGCTTGTCCATCACCTCCACTCCGGTGTGCTTCAATATTAACTACACCAGCCTTGAGCCTCTGTTTCTTGCATTCGCCATGAAGGGCTTGAGGCGCAGCCCACTTATTAGAGTAGTGCTTTCGAAGTTGGAGGAACCTCAAGCGGCCAACCTGAATCTCGGCACAATCTGTGGAGATCTACGATACATTCTATATCGTTTCACTAATTTACTCTTTGTCTTTGCGATTATTAGCTTTACCATGAACTGTACCTATTAACAGCCTTCTTTAATATTTTCCGTGAACATGTTAGCCATCTTTCCCTCCTCCGTCTTGACGGGTGTGGGGCTGAAGAGTATGAAAAAATAATATAGTGGAGCGATACACGATCTACTGTATATAACTTTTGAGTAGGTAGGCCTTAGTTAGATAGCAATTGCTCGTGATAAAAGATTCCGATAACGCTCCAGGAATCCCGTTAACCTCATCACCTTAATTATCCTGCTCAAGAAGCGTTAAATCCAACTGCTGCAGACCTCACTAATTGGAGGTATTTTCTTGAACATGCATTCGATGCTTGGCCTTAGTTTGCTAGCTGGAGTAATAAGAGAGAGAGAAAGTAGATGTAACGAAACGGTCGCGCAAATTTACGGGTGTAATGGGTGGGCTCTTTGAGCCGAACATACAACTACTTACGCTAACCATTTTGCTGAAAAGGCAATTACAAGACTTCAAGTTTGTCTTGAAGTCAAGGTAGTTGCGTAGATATACTTGATTTGCTTGGCCTAGCCAAGCCACACACACACGGGCATAGCCCCTTACAACGGGTCTCTACTCACTCTTACTATCACTAGTCTTATCCTACCAACAGTAAGCTAATTACTCGCCAAACCTATACTAGGAGGTATTCTATACTAGTCACGTTCTATATCCGTTGTTTTTATCGTCATCTACTTTAGTCTCCTCTTGTTTGAGCTATAGTAGGAAAATGTCTATAAACTACTCTATTCGTGATCCTAATTATGGTAATCATTAAATAGAGCATATGTGTTAGCGAGATAATACTGAGTTTTAATAGCTTTAACTTTACTGCCTTGCTATTGTCTACTATCTACATTGCGTTTCTAACTAACAATAGAAAGTATAATTAGTAAGCAATAAATTGAATAGCGAACTAAGATTTACTAATAGCGCAATAGGCTCGAAGGCGGAGCTTTATTAGCTATTTTTATTATTATCTCTGTTAACTACAGTATACTATATGGAGTAGTAACTGTAACGGTTCGAGTACACACTGAACTAACATCCGAAAGGGATCCGAACATGGGCACGCACTAGCCGAGGGCAGATCTGCTGATATAAAACCCCACCTTCTCCATACCGTAGCTCGATAGATTTTTGATATCCTTTCGTACAAGGCCTATAGGTGTCTATTCGAATTAAGGCTCGTTTGATGTCCCACGCACTCCCATATGCCTCTGAGTGACACTACCGCCGATACTGATCCGAGTAGTCTTGCCTGCGCCGTTACATTATATCAAAAATCTCACCACCGCCGGTGACGGCATTCAAACAATATCGCAGCTGTCTGTTCAGACTACATCCAAAACCAAGTGTTTCCGGAGTTGATCCGGAACCTTACACCGTTACATCTAACATTCACATAGACAGGATCCCATTGATCTCCTGTTGACCGAAGCCTTTGGGTTTGGAATTTCTGTACTCACGCGAGTCGGATTAACTTCGGAAAAGCCGCGTAGAGTGCGCC